TAGATACATAAAAAATTGGATATTCAAAAAAGCTTATTATTAAGTGTACATTAATAAATTATTTAATTATTTTTATTATTATTTATTTATATTACGGCAAATTTAATTAAATATATTTATGGCAACAAATTCAAGTGTTTGCCGATAATTAGAGGTGCTCACAGTTTAATTGCGACAGGCTTTCTACTATAGTATTTGCGTCTTTCTACATTCATATTAGTAAAAACTACGATTTAAATTAGATATTAAATTACCTAAGATTAGATAGCATATTGAAATGATTACATAATTAACGCATTAGTAAGTAGAAAAAATATCCAACATAATTATGGTAAAATAAGGGTAAAATACAGTAGATCTCTCCAAGCCTGACTGGATACATTCGTGCCAATGTAAAATTAAAACGGTTAACAATTTAGTAAAGCTTAATTCGACGGGCGCCGAAAGACGATTTTCGAAGAATCTATAAAAAACTCATAAAATTGACGGACGGTTTGGGATGGCAATTTAACTGTTACTTTAATTTATTCTTGCACGATTTTTATTAGTTTAATATGTTATTAGCAATTTTTTTTTAAATACGAATATTAAACATAATTTTCTTAAAGATTTTGTAATTATAGATATAAACTTAAAATATAACTAGATAGATAGATATAACTAGATAGTTATGTCCATGGTACTGCTCATGTGTATATGCGACGGTTACCACTTACCATCAGGTGGACCGTCAGCTTGTCTGTCATTCTAAGTTGCATAAAAAAAAGATAGGTAATTTATTTGCATTACTTACAACACACAAATAACAATAAAACATAGATAGAGAGATTACGTACACAAAGATAGAGATAAAAGGATATATACAAAAAAAAAACCAAAATGCATAAGTAACATAATACTTTTTTTTATTTTTCGGGAGACAAGAGTGATAGATATGTATGTATGTAATTTTTTCTTTTATGTGTGTGCAATAGTAACTCAAAATGGTCACAGTTTATTGCTTTGCTCTGAAAGCAGCAAATCACTGATCTTTTGTTTTTGCCAAAACAAATTGTATGACTCTAGGCCAGAGGCTCAGCATCACCAATTATCGTTATTACCGTTATCCCAATTATTATTTGTGGTCGGTGTAATATGTTTTTCTCTTCCATTCTTCTCTATTCGTTTCCGCATTCACTCCCATTCTGGCCATATCATCTTTTACACAATCCATCCATGTCTTTTTACGTCTTCCACTTTCCTTATAGCCCTCCACATTTATACTTTTTTTATACCACTAAGGTGGCAAACAAGCATACAACCCACTTGATGGTAAGTGGTTACCGTAGCCTATGAATGTTTGAAATACCAGAGGTATTGCGCGCACTTTGCCGACCCTGAAGAAACCTCATTACTCCTTTTTTGAAGAACCCCATGCTGTAGTCTTTTGGGAAAACCTCGGCAGGGAGCTCATTCTATAACCACTTTTATTACTTATCCTTTCTTAAAATATTCTACTCATTCCTGCGCATCATGTGTCCATGGTCCATGGCACCAGGCCAGTCGGTAACTCCTTATCTTATCTTATATTCGCATATGGGTTCAGCTAAGCCGTTGCACGTCGACCCATCGGGATCTTTTGTGCGTCCCCCTGCCTTATACCATCATTTCATAGATCCTATGTGTTACCCTAACGATATCCCGCGGTTTAAGATATCTGTAGTATCCCCTGGATCTGGACGGTAACTCTTTAATACTTATTCATATTACAAAAAGTTTTGGCACATGGTTTTTCAACGGGTCGCCTCCCTGACGTAAACCCTATGACTTAAGAAGCTTTAATAACTAAAACCAGCTCTCGTCAGATTGTCACTTTTTATTTTTATATTTATAACACAGGGGTAAACGAGCATACAGCTCATCTGATGGTAAATGACGACCGCCACCTTTGATCACCCACAACACCAGAGGCATAGTAAGTGTGCTACCGGCAAAAGGAATATGCTCTTTTCTTAAAGATCATGATATTTTATTGATTCACCTAATGGCAAGTACGAGGTAGATTAGCTGTTAATCGCATCTATAGAAGCTCTCATTTACTTTAACACCTGATTGTTCTTTTTTTCTAGCAAAGAATTTTAGAGACTCACCTTAACTTCTATAATAGCGGAGTAAAATAGGTTGGTAGTACCTATTTTAATAAGATAGCGCAATAGCGAAATGTACAGTGCTACCAACATGCTCCCAATCCCAATCGGGGTTACTATAAAAATATAAATGTAAACTCAAGGAAATTACTTCACGGCAAATTGAATTAAGTACTATATTTAAAGCAATAAATCTAAGTGTTTGCGGATAATTTCGAGCCGATCACAGCTTGATTGCGTGGCTTGATTGATTGATGGATTTTACTTTAGGTTGTTTTTTTTTTTTTTATTAAAACTAGAAGACAAGAAAAAATGGGCGTAATGGAATAACGTTGTACGGTTCGTGCACCGTAAATGTTGCTGCAGATAATATATACCTATAAGTGAAATATAGTGGGCGTGTGGTCCCGGCATAGAATAGGCCGCCCCTTCCTTTCCCGTGGGTGTTGTAAGAGGCGACAAAGGGAAGGCGAGGGATGGGCAGCAGCGTGCCTCTTAAAACATCTTCAAAGCCTTTTTTTTATTTATTTTTTTACTCAACTTAGTATGGCAAACAAGTTGACGGCCCACCTGATGGAAAGTGGTAACCGTCGCCTATAGACACGAGCAGTACCGTGGACATAACAGAGTATACTGTTTCGTCCATGATACACCCCATGCGTTGCCATTCTTGAGGACTCAGGTGTTATTCCTCTGTACCCTGTAAATTCACACCACATCCTACCCTTCAAACCGAAACACAGCCATGCAAACACAACTGCTTTATGATAATTGCGGTTGCCAATCCGATTGGCAAGCGTAGCAACTACTGGCAAAACCCCCCAAGAGGGAGGCTTATGTTCAGCAGTAGACAGTTAAAGGCTGAAATGATGATGATGATGATGATAAATAAAATGTAGATACATAAAAGCTAATTTATATCAACTGTAACACACTATAATAAGATAATTAAAACTGTCTTTCACAAAAAATAAAATCAGTCGTGGCAATATTAATTATTTTGACTTAAAGAACTAAACCGATTTTAATAACATTTCTGTGAGATCAATCTGAAACCAATCAGATAAAAAAATAATTTTTAAAACATTTTTTTTTTTTACAACACAGGGGGCAAACGAGCATGCGGCTCACCTGATGGTAAGTGACTACCGCCGCCCATGATCACCCACAACACCTACGGCATTGCAGGTGTGCTGCCGGCCTTTTAAAAAGGAATATGCTCTTTTCTTGAAGGTTATGTTGTCGTATCGGTTCGGAAATACTGAATATAATAATCGGAATACATAAAAATAAAACACCGAATTGATAATCTCTTCATTTTTATAATGTCGTTTAAAAATAATAAATACTAGTAATTACTCTTATATTATCTATATCTTCTATACTTATAATAAATCTGTAGAGAGGTCAATTCCGTACATGAAATATATTTCCAAAATAACTATCAGCGGGTGATTAGTGATCGATACTGATGCCAAAAATGCAATCAGTAAAATTTTTGTCCGTCTCTCTGTGTGTTCGTTATAGAAACAAAAACTACTCGACGGATTTTAACGAAACTTGATACAATTATTCTTCATACTCCTGGGCAGGTTACAGTATACTTTTCATCACGCTACGATCAATAGGAGCAGAGCAGTGAAGGGAAATGTTGGGAAAACGGCAGGAGTTACTCCATTTTTAAGCTTCCGTCGCGTGTGCAGCTTTAATGGCCACTTTTTAAAAATGTCCACCCGTGCGAAGTCGGGACGGGCCACTAGTTAATATAATAAAATTGTAACTAGACCATATATGCATGTAAATGGAAGATATTAAAAAAAAAATATATATATATATATAAGGTACATACCTTGGTCTTATTAACATTAATAAGACCAATAGAAGGTATTAGAATTTCGGAAGGAATTACACCAGAGGGAGACTTTGTACATTGAAAGTCGATTACTTGGGTACCTCTGTTCCATTCGTGTTTCTACCGTGAAGCAGTTGTGTTTGCATGGCTGTGTTTCGGTTTGAAGGGTGGGATATGGCGTGAATTTACTGGGTACAGACGAATAACACCTGAGTCCTCAGGAATGGCAACGCATGGGGGGTATCATGGGCGAAACAATATTACTCTGTTATGTCCATGGTACTGCTCATGTCTATAGGCGACGGTTACCACTTTCCATCAGGTGGGCCGTCAGCTTGTTTGCCATTCTAAGTTGTATAAAAAAAAAGAAGCTAAAATATTAATTTTTAGATTTTTTTTCCTGTCTGTATGTTTGTTTCTATATGGCGCAAATACTACTGTAGCAAATTGGATGCGATTATATCAGTTCTGGTTCTGAAGGTCAAACTTAAATTCTGCTATGTTTTATATTGACACGAAATCTAAAAGTCGCTTACTTCATTGTTTTATTACTTCTGAAACTATGCGTAAGAAGTCATGCGAAAAAAAAATAGTCAAAGAATGGTAATAGTCTATAAAATAGCAAGAAAGAATTTTAGCATATCAGGTTACGTAGCCACACAGATACAAATATGCAGAAACTCAGTGGATGATCTGTGAAATGTGAAATGAGTTCATTTCGTGACAAACTAACACTCGTAAACTGTAGATCGATTTATAAAATTAATAAAAAGCTCCGACCCGACGTCTGTCGAGCCGGTACCCTTTCGGTCCCTTCACATAAACGCGCAAATACAAACAAGCAACACGCAAACATTCACAAAAATTTGTAGGTCCGTCTCTTTTATGTTCTTTTTTATATACGAGTTGAGGGCAAGGAAAGCGTCGTGGGGCCACGTGGAGGGGTCGCGTGGGGTGCTGGGCGGGGCGATGCAGCTGCACGTAGGGCTCCGCAACCGTCCCCGTTCAGTCGAGACGCGAGCGTCATACCGCTACGTCACGGCCACCCTACGAAATTGCCGCCAAAACTCGTGGAATACATTCGAGTCAGCCCGCTGAAAGTTTGAGCGGCGATTTAAAAACGAATATTGTCTATGGACACTTTTTTTTTCGACAGGACAGTGTTATAAGGTTATACAGCCAAATGTAAATTTTTAAATAGGACTTTTTGGTAATTTGTTAAGTTTTTGAATTGGCGGGTGTCGGGTTGATGTGTGCGAGCGAGAGGGGTGATATGGAGAGTCCGGCTGAGGAGACGGGACGGAGCGCACCCCCCGCGCCGCACACCCCCGCCGCACCGCAGCCGAACGGCTCCAATAAGATCATCGGACGTAATGTGAATGGAACCAGTAAGTCACCTCATATAATATTTATAATAATTATTATTTTTCACAACCAACTTCAAAAAGAATCAGGTTCTCAATTCGGTTGTATTTTTTTATGCTTATTACTTCATAACTCTGTCAGTTTTAAGCCAATTTGCAAAATTTTTATTTATCTGAAAAGATATACTTACAGATTTGTCACGTAGAAATAAAAAAAAAATCGGTTCAGTAGTTTAGTTTTAAATCAGAAACACTGGCTACTAAAGACAAGGCAGAATGGCCTATGGTCGTAGCCTGTGCGAAAGGACAATATAATAAAAAAAAAATCAGAAACACTGGTTTTGTCACAATTGAAGTAGTTTTTTTTTTTGTAGGAAATAATCTTTGATAAAATCTTAAATAATTAAGTAAGAACACTAATAAAAAAAATGAATCAGCTAATTTGACAATAGCTGACAGAAAATTTACCCGTTTTTGAGGTTCGATGCTCTATCTATATAATCTAAGCATAATGTATACAGGTAGAATTTATTGACAAAAAACTGAACGATTTTTCAAAGTATACGCTCATACATGTGTGCGATCAATTTTATAAGTTCTAAGAATATATATTTTTTTAATTATAACATAATTCAAGAACATACGCCTTTTGTACTTCATAAATATATACATATTTATACCATATATATTTTTGTATTATTCTTTAAGTGGTGAATAATAGATAGTGATAGAATGGACAAGAATACATGGTGGTAAAGAATACATATATAAGTATAATATATATATGCTCAAGTATGTTAACATATAATAAAATAATAACAATACAAACATCTGTACATCGGAGCGTATGCAAGGCCGTAGTTTTTAAACCATAATACTGTCACTATTCAACTTTTACTCTGATTCTATCACTGGTTAATTCTTCTGTCACTGTTTGCGTCGAAAATTCTCGTTCTCCCTTTAAGATGGGAGAGAAAGTTTGCGCCAGTGCTAGGATATCTACAGAGGATTCATTTTATACAGGTATATAACAATAATCATTAGATAAAATGAATTGAAATACTTATTTGCTTTACTTTAAAATAATAATATTTTAGGTAAATATATTTTTACTAGTTTATCTTAAAGAAGTTGTACTGTACAAATACGTACCATTTTTTTCCTTTTTTTCCCTAAAATTGGCCTATTAAGAACTATAAGAATCGCCAAATGGGTCCAGCCATTTTTAAATTACGCAAAATAAACGATACGAAAAACAATATTTTATTTTTATTAAAATATAAAAAAAAATATGTGGAACTTATGATAAAATCCCGAATATCGAAAAAAATGTAGCGTAAAGATAAAGTCTGGTCCCGACATGGAATAGGCCACCCCTTCCTTTCCCGTGAGTGTCGTGAGAGACGATTAAGAGAGGGCGAGGGTTGGGCAGCAGTTTTCCACTTAAAACATCTTCAAAGACTAACTGCGTTTACTAATTTATCTTTTTACAATTCATTCTTAAAACATCTCTAAAGCCTAACTGCGGTTGTCAATTTGCCTGCCAAGCGTGACAACTACTGGCAGAACCCCCCAAGGGGAAGGCTCATGTTCAGCAGTGGACAGTTAAAGACTGATATATATATATACATACAATATACATTACATACATATTAACTTTTTAATTCACAATTCAGACGAAAGAGTGTAAAAAAGAATAAATTCAAAGAACAGTCGCTTGGTGGGAATCGAAGCTGTTACCGAGGCAATTTGTGTTTTTCTGCCACCGTGCAGTCGGCTCTTTGTCTCGGTATGGGGTTTTTTGTTTTCTGCTTATCTCTCAACGTTTGTAGCGTGACGGCGATGTCTTGATCTGTCGTTTAAATAGCATTAAAATTATTTACTTCGATGCGATTGACTTAATGACTTTTATTACGGAGCGGTGGACTGTGATGAGATGAAGAAATGATGTAAATACGGAATTTAGTAGCGAAATAAATGTATTATCAGCGAGAAAGGAACAGTCAATATGTCAAATAATAATCTCTATAGAGTTTACATCGGCTGGTCGCCAATAACTTTAATATTAGGTACAAAAATGCAAACTCGCTGTTCCAAAGTATCGTTTAGAAAATGTTATAAATCTTTAATAACATTAAATAAATAATAATAATAAATAAATAAAGGATAAGTTAAGGAAAAATGTACCAAAATGCATTAATGACGAAAATGTAGTGATGATATTCATCATCATCATCTTAGCTGAGATGATAGCCATCATCTGTCCACTGCTGTACACAGGCCTCCCCCGTAGCCTGCATAGATCATGACATATACATCAACTGACTCTCTGATTCGGTTGTTAAAAGGTATATGTATAAATATACATTTTAAAGCATAATTAGAAAATACTAATAAAATAAAAAATAATTTGAAATGTAATTAAAAAATACTGAAAAGCGGATATTAATTTAACTTACTACACACGTTTGTAGTTTTCAATAATTCTTTACATAACATTTATTAAATTTTTGTTATTTAATTATAATATTATTAATTAATTTATTACTAATTTCGGTTTTTAATTTATTTTATTTAATTATAAATAAATTAAAAATAATAAATACTATGCGATTTTTTGCTTTTTCTAAAGCGATTTTTAATCATGAAAATTGGTGTGCGATATCTTTGTTATTCTAAACAGATTTTTGACAGAAAATTGGTATAGAATCTTCTTTAATAGTACTTGCTTCACTTTGATATTTATAATAGTATTTGTCTTGGACTAAATCGGTTTTTATCATACATTATACATTAAACAAAGACTTTTTAAAGCTTGTATGTATTTTGTGGCTAATGAAGAAGATATGGCGATTCCGCCTCGTTATAACCCGGATATAGAAAATACATTACTGAAGATTAGGCTGTATGGCTTACCAGAGGGAGACTTTGTACAAAAGTCGATTGCTTTGGTACCTCTGTCCATTCGTGTTTCAACCGTCAAGCAGTTGTGTTTGCATGACTGTGTTTCAGTTTGAAGGGTGGGATATGGCGTGAATTTACTGGGTACAGAGGAATAACACCTGAGTCCTCATGAATGGCAACGCATGGGTGGTATCTTGGGCGAAATAGTTCGACGTTTACCACTTTTTAACAGATGGGCCGTCAGCTTGTTTACCATTCTAAGTTGGGTATATCTTATATAGTTGGGTATATATAGTATATAGTTGGGGTATCATGGGCGAAACAGTATACTCTGTTATGTCCATGCTACTGCTCATGTCTATAGGCGACGGTTACCACTTTCCACCAGGTGGGCCGTCAGCTTGTTTGCCGTTCTAAGTTGTATAAAAAAAAATGGCTCAGTACCTTTGCCTTTCCCTGAGTGGGATAAATTAAACTACTACTACTCCTACTGAAACAAAATATCAAATTTTACAAAATGAAATTTGTAAACACTTTATTATGCATAGATAAGTCAGTTGTCTAATTAGTTATGTTGAATATAAATGCAAGTATCAAGTGATCGCGTGCCAAACATAGATATGTGACGAAAAAACTTACCCGAGTACGCAGAAGGTAGAAAAACCGTGGAAAACGCGGAAAAACACTGCTCACACTGTGCATTGATAAAAACTGGTTGATAAGTACTCCTTTCTATTGAGACCACAATATATTAGTACCTAATTGACGACTTTTAATACGTACCTAAGAACAAGGAATTACATAGAAGGAATGATAAAATAAAAACTGTAAATCATATGGTTAGCTCCTTTCTTCTTATGCAAATATAATTAGTAAAAAGAGGATGAAAGATACACCCTCAATTTCTCAATTCATAACAGGCTATTGTATAGAAAATGTTTGATATGTCAAATATTTGACAATAACAATTTTTACCTTACTAGATTATATATTCGACACAGTTTATGTAGAAAGTATGCAAGCAGGTTGTATCTGAATTTGGTAGGGTTATACGGCCGAATAACATTTTCTATACACTAACCTGCTAGAATTGACAATTTAACGCTCCTTCTATGTAATTCCTTGTTCTTAGATATGTACTAGTGAAGGATAGAGTAGATAGGAGTCAAAGAGATTTCGTAAATACTTGTGGTGTAGCTTCGGCATAGAAAGGGTCACCCCTTCCTTTCCCATCTAATATACAACATAGGCCTCCCTTATAAGGGGCTAAACTATGATACTAACGGTCAAAGGATGGGCAGTAGCGTTCATCTTAAAATATGACCAAAGGCTGCAGTTGCTAATCTGTCTGCCAAACGTGGCAACTACTGGCAAGGTCCTCCTATTTGGGGGAGACCTATTTTAGCAGTGGTCAGTTAACGGCTGAAATGATTATGATTCGTAACAAAGAACAGCTTTGTTTTACAACCAAATAGGTCAATATAAAGAAATATTTACCAAGGGAAGATTTTGTACAAAAATCGACGGTATGGGTACTTCTGTCCCACCTGTATTTCTGCTTTGAAACACCTGTACTTGCAAGGCTGTGTTTCGGTGTGAAGGGTGGAATGTAGATGTTAAATTACGATATGGAGGTATAATGTCGTAGTTCTCAACAATGGTTTCGCATGAGTGGTATAAAAAAATATTTAGCTGTCATTCGATCATCGAATCTGACTTAAGATCACTACAAAATCTACGAATTTGTAATGATCTTAAGCTATAATTCTAGCAAAATACATTTATTTCATTTAATTATTATATTTGTTTGCCGTGTGCTCCCGGCATAGAATAGGCCACCGCTACCTTTCCCGTGAGTGTCGTAAGACGCGACTAAAGGAAGGCGAGTGATGGGCAGCAGCGTACCTCTCGTACCCGTCTTCTATTCCAAATCCTTTTCCGTGCAAGCAGTTCGTTTGTGGAACTCACTCCCTACCTCTATACGGTGCGCTCAATCTTTGCCCATTTTTAAAAACCTAGTTATATCTGGTCCTAGGTAGTGACCTATCCTTATAATCACTTAGTCCTCCTTATTTCCTATAAATAAATGAAAAAATACTCTGTGTTATGAGGAACCAGGC